ATTTTTTTTGCAAAATTTGTGGCAAAAGATTACAATGTACAGTGAATAAAATTCCTGTAAAAACATAATAGAAAGAGAGAAAAGGTTATGAAAACAGTTACCAACAAAGATATACAAATGGATTGTATTAGGCCTTGGGCTACCTTATACAATGAATGTAACTGTACTGTATCCCTAAATGTACCAATAAACTCAATTAAAAAAAAAACAAATTGAGAGACTGTGTGGAATTATTTGCAAAATTTGTGGCAAAAGATTACAATGTACAGTGAATAAAATTCCTGTAAAAACATAATAGAAAGAGAGAAAAGGTTATGAAAACAGTTACCAACAAAGATATACAAATGGATTGTATTAGGCCTTGCGGGCTACCTTAACAAAGTAGTATAGGTTGTGTGGTTTAAACAATAGAAATGTATTGTCTCACAATTCTGGAAGCTGAAATTCTAAGATCACTGTTCCAAAATGGTCATATTCTGGTAAAGGTTCTCTTCCTGGCCTGCAGATGTGCACCTTTTCAGTACATCCTCATGTGGCAGGGAGGGAGAGATGGGGAGAAAGAAGAAAAAGAAAAGAGAGATAGAGACAAAGAGAAAGGAGAAGGAGGAGGAACAAGAGGAGGAGAAGGAAGAGGAGGAGGAGGAGGGAGGGGACAGAAAAGGATAAGGGAGGAGAGGAGAGGAGAGGAGAGGAAGAGAGGAGGAGAAAGAGAGATCCAAGATTATATCTCCAAATAAATCACATTGGAGATGAAGTCTTCCATATATGAAATTTGAGGGAAACACAATTCAGCCCATATCATGGATAATATTAAAAATATATTCAGTTTTGTGAACATAAAAATGCATATCAAAATAATGATGGTAATTTTCAATCATTATATTGTCAAAAATTAGAATAATTTTTTAATAACATCCACTGTTATCAGATGTTTGGAGAATAAGCAGTTTTATTGACCAGTAGAATAATAAACTATCCAAAATTTTTGTAGAATAGGAGGAAAAATATAAATACACATAAATCTAAATTTCTATTTCATTCAACTCAGGAATTTTGCTTACCAGAACTTAGGAAAATGCTTGCAGAAAAATAATACACCTATAAAGAATATTCTTTAACCATATACCTTTTGATAGAGTTCAGATTATTTTTAGACTTACTATGTTTATAATCAATAAAATAAAGAATCTTCCAATGTCAGCAGTGTGCTGGAAACCAATGTGCCCAGTTCTACTACACAAGTTCTGAATATTTTTGTGTGACTAACTGTGAAAGCAGGTAGGGGTGCTGCTTTCAGGGCAAGTCTAATGGCAGGATGTGCTACTCCTTTGCACTAAGTTGTGACTTTTCATTTTCCAGTTTGAGAGAATCTTTGATGGTATTTTGGAGAATTTTAGCAAAAACAGAAATGAAGGGCCCTCCCTGCAGGACTTTGAGCCTCCCGGGATATGAAACTTCCTGAGTTCCACTGCATTCCAGACTGGGAGATGTTCTTAGGACCAAATGGCTAGCCCAGGGCTTTTTTCTGCAGGATGTGTATACCTGCTATTAAGTAGAACCCCTTTGGAAAGCAAGAATATCATTTTCTGACAAAAGTCATCTTGCTCAGAGATCTGGGGGAAACAGGGACTGTTGCTGTGTGGTTTGGGCCATTCTGAGACACTTTTTACAACATAGCTCGCTTTCCTGTGAGCACCCTTTGCAGGGCACACTGCACATCAGGGTTCCTAAGACTGTAGATGAGTGGGTTCAGCATGGGGCTGATGACAGTTTTGAGGATGCCAATGCCTTTGTCTTTGTCTGAAGCCTCCACTGAACCCAGCCTCATGTAACTGAAGACACCTGTGCCATAGAAGATGCCCACGACAGTGAGGTGGGAGGCACATGTGGAGAAGGCCTTCTTCCTGCCCTCAGCAGAGCGGATTCGAAGGACTGCAGCTGCCACATGGATGTAGGAGGTGACAATGAGAATCACAGGTGCACCAGCCATGAGGACAAAAGAGTAGCAGCTCATTGAGTTGGGTGCTGGAGCAGGAGAGCTGGAAGAGCTGAGGAAGGTCACAGTAGAAGTGATTGATCACACTGGGGCCACAGAAATTGAGTGTGGAGATGGCCACAGTGTGAGTCAGTGCATTGGTGAAGGCGCACACCCAGGCCACCAACATCCTCTGGACTGTCCGGCTCATGCGGGTGCTGTAGGTGAGGGGCCGGCAGATGGCCAGGAATCGGTCATAGGCCATGGCTGTCAACAGGAAGCAGTCTGCACCCACCAAAAGGTGGAAGAAGAAGAGCTGCGTGAGGCAGGCATCATAGGATATTGTACGCTTGTGGGACACAAGACGACCCAACATTGAGGGAATAGTGACGCTGATGCACCCAACGTCTAGCACTGAGAGGTTCCCCAGGAAGAAGTACATGGGGGTGTGGAGTTTGGGCTCCAGCAAGACAGCTGCCAGGAGGCTGAGGTTGCCCCCAACTGTGACCAGGTAGGCAAAGAAGAAGAGCACAAAGACAACTGGTTGAAGCCCTGGTGACTCCACCAAGCCAAGTAAAATAAATTCAGTAATGGCTGTTCCACTGGCCCCAGATTCTGGTTCCATAAGTCCCTGTAAAAAGACATTGCAGAGTGGGAGGGATCAGTCTTCACTATAGTTATTCAATAAAAATATATCAACTTGCTTTCATGTGGGAAGCCCCAGGGTAAATTTTCATGTTTCCTAGTGGGCATGAGGAGTGAGAAAACTCCTCAAGCCACACCTTACTCATTAACCCTTTCTCTGCCTTCACCTCTGTATCCTTACCTGACTCCTGTGTGCGTTGTCTGATCCTACTACTACCTTGGAATTTCTTCCTCTCTTCATGAAAGGTATTTATAATCTTTTTCAACTTTATGTCCTAGAATCAATAAACGAGGTCTTCCTAGTAAGGGAGAAAATGATGAGGAAATGGGATAAAATTATACTCAAAGAAAAAATGAAGAGATAGTAAAGCAGAAAGGGACACAATAATTAGCCATAGATCCAAACAAGTCTGTTATAAATAAAGTAAATATATGGCAAGTCCAAGAGAGAAAAAAAGTAAAGATACAAAATTAAGAATAAAATAATCTGGATACTCACAGACCAAAAATAAATTTCAATAATAATACAATACTATCTGCTTCTGTTTGAAACACCCTCAAATACAATAAACCAGCTACAATTGGAAAAAGAAGAAAAAAAAAAACCCTGTTAAAAATGTTCATCCATTTTTAGTCTCCAAATTTATTCCTTTTATATATAAATTATTTTAAACATGTTAATATAAATAGAAATTCCATGTAAGACTCCTTTAGGTTAGAAAAAAATGGAAGCGTTATCATTTTTTTCAAAAGTGACAAATTTTGATAATAAAATGTAATGATGATTTTAAAAATTGAATTATTCTTCACAGCCCTTATTTAGCAAGACAAATGCAGAAATCCTAAGTACAATAAAGAAAACCTACCATAATCAAATAGATTTATAGAAAAGAGAAGATAATATAACATTTTAGACATATTAATTAGATTTAAAAAGGAAAAATTTTGAAAAGGCAACTCATAAATATCTACATCTATCTGTAAAGTAGAGAAGAAAGGAAAAAAGTAAACAATGACAACAAAACCTCTGTGGTTACAGAGAGTGGAAGTATGCAACTTTATATAACAGGACATGCCTATTGTAAGCCTATGTCCTTCAGAGTGGCAAAGTAGTACCAATATTCTATTAAAATCAAAAGCAACAAAAGCAATGGCTTTCATTAAGTATTTTTCATTATTGTAAAAGTCTGAGGCAAGAAACATTAAGATGCTCAAATATTAGAAAGGAAGTAGGGAGATCTTTTTCAAATGGATGGGGGAGTAAGAGATGGAGGTAAGAGGGAAAGGAGGGAGGGGAAGAAAAGGGAATGAAAAAAAAGAATTAAAAGCAAAAATGATTAAAATAGAACTTTTGCAAATGGGAATAGGACTGAGGGTTGGAAGAAGTAGGGAAGGAGAGGAAGGGTGACAGATGAGAGAGAGAGAGAGAGAGAGAGAGAGAGAGAGAGAGGGAGAGAGGGAACTAATAAAAAATAAAGAAAACATTAAAAAACAAGGAGAAAGAAAAAAAATTGGAAATGATACAATTGTATAAATGAACACCCAAGGGAGGAGGAAAGAAATCAGGAAAGTCAGAATTAATAGAGAATTAATAAGGCAGTTAAAAAGTAATTGTATACATGTCAGTAGATTTCTTACAAACCAAAAGTAATCACCTATAAGATGTAAAAATCCCAATTCATAACAAATGGTATCTTTGATATAAAATTAAGAGCTATCAGGAAGTAAATTCATACCTAAACCATGTCGGCAAAGTACCTAGAAAAGTGGCAGAAAGAAAATGTCTGTCGGTTCCACCAAATGGTAGGAACATAGGGGATTTGGAACTACCTTTTCTATTATTTTGCTTTCAAATGATCTACAATGAACTGGCATACTTTTATAATCACAACACGCGTGCGCGCATGCACACACACACACACACACACACACACACACACACACGCTGATTTTGTAAGATTACCCAGGTCCTTAATGACCAGGGATAGTGGCTAAGTGACTCCACCTCTTTCTTGTGTCTGCAGCATGTGTAGCGTGTTACTCTCCAGCATGTTAATAAAGGTTTAGAATGCTACATGAGTTTACCTCAACACCCTATAAGGTAGTAACATCAGTTCACTCCATTATGTCCTCTTTATAGGAAATGTAATAACAAAACAACCAGCTGAGTTATCAGTTTCCACAAAAATTAATCTATGAAGTATCTATCAATGAAAGCTAATGGTTTGTTGTACTCATTGTGTGCATGCTTTAGCAGAAGATGGATTTGCAGAATATTTACCCTCTGTGTATCAGATAAATTCCTTTCTTTGACTTTGTTCTTTTGATGCATCTTTTAAAATATAGTAGCCAGATAATATTATTAGTACCTAGAAATATTTACATTGTTTTGAGTATAACTAAAACCATGGTAGATAACAGTAATTAAAAATTATGATTTCTACAACTGTATCTGCCATGATCTAGGAATAATGAAGACAGATTCCAAATTATTATGAATTATTTTTAATCCAAGACACAGTCAGTTTTTCCAAAATCAATGTTGACCTGAGTCACTCTGGAGATCTCACATCCAGGGTAATATTCAGCTGTAACCCACTGTGACAGTTTAGTGCTTATTGAATAATTTTTCCACCACCTCACCCACAAAATGAGCCCTTCTAGCGCATGTAATGCTGTACTCAGTGTACTCTTATGTTTAGTGTACTCTGTAACCAGTGGCATTGGCCCGTGGATACTGTCCACAGACCAACTTGTTTTAAACTTTGGATAATATCTACTCCCTAAGTTTACTGATGAAGAATCTAGGATGAAGTATTACTGAGTTGGATATCAGGTTTAGAACGAATATTAAATGTACTTATAAAATGCCTGATGGTCAATCCTTTTAAAAAATTTTTTTCCTCATTGAGTTTATTGGTACATTTTAGGTATACAGTACAGTTACATTCATTATTGGGATCTTGTACCTTAACATGATAGGTCTTGGTTCTCATTTTTCCCCCTGTCTCTTCCCTGATGGTCAATTTTTTAAAGTAGTAGTGCTATTGCTGGGTTATCTGGGCCTTGCTAATGCCTAAATAACTATGAGGTGATCAGAGAAAGGATTTGTATGAAGACATCTGTAATTTGTCCACTAGTCTGGCCAGCTGAACATGACTGCTTCTAACTAAATCCCAAGAGGTATTAATGATACCTAGAGGGCATTAGAAAGATCTATCATTTGTATGTGGAAGAACAAAACTAGATCCTTACCTCTCATCAGAGATCAACTTAAAACGGATCAAACACCTAAATGTAAGACTTGAAACTCTAATTACATCATGACATTGATATAGGCAAAGAGTTTTTGGATAAGACCCTGGAGTACAAGCAACAAAAGCAAAAATAGACAAATCAGATATTAAAAGAAAGAAGCTTTCTCTCAGCAAAAGAAATCAACAGTGTGAAAAAAGAATTAGCAGAATGAGAGAAAATATTTGCAAACTCTTCATATGACAAGGAATTAATATCCAGAATATTTAAGGAATCAAAGCAGAAAGAGCAACAAAACCCAACCAAGCAAAACCCAACCAACCAACCAACCAGACAAACAAAAAACCAAAAAAGCAAAACCCCAAGAGCAAAACAAAAAAATAAAAATGACATCTGATTTAAAAGAAGGCAGATGATTTGAACAGACAATTCTTAAATGAAGACAATACAAATGGTTCACAAATATATGAAACAAACATTCATATATTCATATGAGCCTAAATCCTTAATAATTTGCGATAGAAAAGATGTCAACGGCAGTAAATGTACTTAATCATGTCATATAAACAAAGGATTACAGTAGGAAATTAAATTGTCTCTTCAGGATGTTTTCTTTCAGAAGTGGTTGGAGATGGGAGGTAGGAAAAATACCAGTGTAGGGGTTAAGGGCCCTGAGTTCTAAAATCTATTCTGTCATTGACAGAAGGATTCTCACTAATATTCTGAAAGCTTTTGAGCCACTATAAAATGAGGCAGTGGGTCTGAAAAAAGAGATCGAGGAGGATATAAGAAAATGGAAAGATGTCCCCTGCTCCTGGGTAGGAAGAATCAACATAATGAAAATGACCATACTACCAAAACTGCTATACAGATTCAATGCAATACCAATTGAAATCCCAACACTATACTTCACAGAACTAGAAAGAAGAATCCAAAAATTCATTTGGAACTATAAGAGACCTAGAATAGCAAAAGCCATCCTAGGCAACAGACACATGGCAGCGGGTATAAAAATTCCCAATTTGAAGCTATATTACAAAGCCACTGTGATAAAAACAGCATGGTACCAGCAAAGAAAAAGACCTGAGGATCATTGGAATGGATTGGAAGACACAAAAACAACTCCAGATGCACTCAGCTACCTCATCTTTGACAAAGGAGCTGACAGTCCCCACAGGAGGAAAGATAGCCTCTTTAATAAATGGTGTTGGAAAAACTGGATCTCAACCTGCAAACGATTAAAACTAGACCCTTATCTGTCACCATGCACTAAATTAAAATACAAGTGGATTAAAGATCTAAATATAAAAACAGAAAAACTAAACTTGCTGGAAAATAAGTTAGGCAGAACTCTGGAAGACATTGACATAGGAAAAGACTTTATGAACAAATCCTCAGTAGCATGGGAACTAGCAGAAAGAATCAACAACTGGGATCTCATCTTATTAAAAAGCTTCTGCACTGCAAAAGAAACCATCAACAGAACTAAGAGACAACCTACAATGTGGGAGAAAATTTTTACCATCTGCTCCTCAGATAAAGGACTATTATCTAGAATATATAAAGAAATCAAAACAACCAGCCCCCTCAAATATAAAGACCTAATTCAAAAATGGGCATCTGAAATGAACAGACATTTCTCAGACAAATAAGTAAAAGCAGCAAGTAAATATATGAAAAATGTTCCACATCACTGGTCATTGGAGAGATGCAGATGAAAACAACACTGAGATTTCA